AAATTGAACAGCCATAAAATTGTCTTGTTTTTCCTAACAGGTGGTGTTCCATAAGATGTCACCCAATGAGACCCTCTTTTTGGAAAGTACCAACAAGATTTATAAAGACGACATTTCCAATAGCTCCTTTGTGAATTTCCAGATTTGGGATTTTCCTGGGCAGATGGACTTTTTTGACCCAACCTTTGACTACGAGATGATCTTCAGGGGAACAGGAGCATTGATATATGTCATTGATGCACAGGTAGTTAGAAATAATGATGTTTACTTCTCTTCCCTGGTGGCAAAAAGATGTAGAAACAACAGAAAGTTGTTTATCTTCTTTGTCATTTGTTTACAGCTCTTTTCTTTGCCAGTAGATTCCATAACATTGTGATATGCAATTGCAGAGGTGCTTTGGGAACAGGCACGTCATTGCAGTTTGAAAGAATCAGTTGGTTAGGAGATGTAGTTTACATTGTGAGTCCTAGTTAATGAGCAGTTAACATTGGCTTTCTGGTAAATTTTGTTACACATTATTATTAGCTACTATTATAGTGCTATAACTCATCAAAAATATCCTGTCAGTGCCCATAGTGTAAGATGGACTGTGAGAAATGAGTCAGTATATATTAGAGTGATTAGTTTCCTTAATTGTCCAAATTGAATTTAGTACAACAAGCATTTATTGAAGACCTAACCTGTGGCAGGCAGTCAGATGAAAGGTACATGTCCCTATTCTTAGGAAGCTAGCTTTCTATAATCTTAAATATTAGTTAGGAATGAGTTCTGAGTGATGGACCCTATAATGGATGTTTTCACATGCATGATCTTATTTAATTATCACAACATTGTGAGGTTGGTATTATAATTCCAGTGTTACAGATGAATAAACTGAGATCTCAGAGTTGAAGCAACTTGCTTTAAGTCACACACCTAATAAATGGCAGAGCTGGGATTACTTTAAAAAATGTTGGGAAGAATTGTCCATGTCCCTTTTCCTTTATACTATCAGTATTAAAAATTACAGGCATTAATTTGGGAATTGAATTTTTTATCTTAAGTTGAAGAACTACTTATTAGTATGTTTGAGTGCTTGAATATTTATGAATAATTTAGGATAATATATTTTCTGTGGTTGGGGAAAGAGGTGGTTTGAGGCTTTCTTAACTCATTACTTGCCTTTTGTAAGATACTTTTTAAAAAATATTTTGTTCTGACTTACAGGATGACTACATGGAGGCTTTAACAAGACTTCACATTACTGTTTCTAAAGCCTACAAAGTTAACCCAGACATGAATTTTGAGGTTTTTATTCACAAAGTTGATGGTCTGTCTGATGATCACAAAATAGAAACACAGAGGGACATTCATCAGAGGGCCAATGATGACCTTGCAGATGCTGGGCTAGAAAAACTCCATCTTAGCTTTTATTTGACTAGTATCTATGACCACTCAATATTTGAAGCCTTTAGTAAGGTGGTGCAGAAACTCATTCCACAACTGCCAACCTTGGAAAACCTATTAAATATCTTTATATCAGTAAGTGAGCTCTTTAATTCTCCATAGTTTCTGATTCCATTTTTGTTAAATATATTTGTTTTCACATTCTCTAAAAATTGGAACTAGAATTAGCTAAAAGACTACTGACACACTTAACATATAAAATAAGAGCAGTAAATATGGGTTGAGGTGTTATTTTCTGAATTCTTAGTTTCCTCCCCATTTTGTCTTTAAGGAGAACTACTAAAAAACTTCTATATGCTTTTTTTTTTTTTTTTTGGTGGTACTTGGGACTGAACTTAGGGTTACTCTACCCCTGAGCCATCTCCCCACCCCTTTTTATTTTTTGAGACAAGACCTCACTAAGTTGCTGAGACTGGCCTTGAACTTGCAATCTTCCTGACTCGACTTCAAGTTGCTGGGATTATAGGCAAGCACACTGTGCCTGGCTTTTTATACTTCCTTTAAAAATATCTTTGTGATGCTTGTTTCCTAATGAAAGAGTAGTAACTAGAAAAGGCTGGGTATTGGGGCTGTGACTCAATATCATTTTATTCTCTGCCTCATTAGAAGTCACATTAAGAAACTGATCATTTCTTCACCCATGGTAGTCTATTTTTTTTGTAGGGAGGGTTAACCAGAATTGAACCCAGGGGCACTTAACCACTGAGCCACACACATCCTCAGTTCTTTTTCATATTTTATTTAGAGACAGGGTCTTGCTGAGTTGCTTAGCATCTCCCTTTTTGCTGAGGCTGATTTTGAACTCTTGATCTTCCTGCCTCAGCTAGGATTGCAGGCATGCGCCACTGTGCCCAGCCACCAACTGTAATCTTAGCTTTATATTTTGTATTCTTATTCTGAGGTGTCATCTTAAGAAAAAAAGGATTGCTCCCTCACCCCAATAAATTTAACATATAGCTGTTATATTTTCCAAACATTACTTTGAAAGGATTCAGTGTGTGGTGGCCTCTTGGGCTTTTGGGTTATGCCAGATGTTGACATCAAACTGTAATTATTTTGTGTTTTACTGTTTGCCCACATAAGGACTTTCCGGTAGCAAGATCACTCAAATTGGAGATGGATTATAATTACTAGAAAGGTTTATAGACAGTGTAGCATAGCTTGATTTTTAGAGAATTCTTTTGTTAAATTTTTTAGTGATCTCTTAGAAAATAATTCATTTAAATAAAGAGGAATAAAAAAATTTGACAATCATATCAGTAAATCAAAGTAGAGATATAATTCAACTTTTATTCCTTGATAATAGAAGTGTTTCTCAAACAAGTATTATTTGTGTTTTGGTATTGAGTTGTACAATTAGAAATGACCTTGTATGTTATTTATTAATTTAAAGTCTTTGATTAGTTACAAAATATGATTCTTAAAAGAAACTGAACACTTCCCCAATTTTGTTTTTTCAAGAATTCAGGTATTGAAAAAGCTTTTCTCTTTGATGTTGTCAGCAAAATCTACATTGCAACAGACAGTTCCCCCGTGGATATGCAGTCTTATGAACT